TAAATTTTTGAATAAAATTTTCTAAAATCTATACTTTTTTTAAAACTTATAATCAATAGACTTATTAAATATATAATTTATGAGGTGTAAACTGTTTTAAAACTATTTAATGCACGACAATAATTTGTCTCATTTAAAAGGAACAATAAAAATGGAGAAAAAAAAATAAGAATATTAATTTTATGAACATTGAACATTTTGGAATTTTTACTTTTAGAACTATAAATATGCATGGTATTTGTGTAGAGAATACAATAAAAATATGTTTAAAAGAAACAATATTATTTTAGTACTATTAATATATTTCTTATTGTTTGTTATTATTAAATTGTTTTGAATTTTTAAAAGAATTCTCTAAGAACAATTCTATTTAAAAAAATATATATATATATAAAAAGTGACAAAATGAACAAAACATGAAACGTTCCTGATTGTATACATGCATACCTTAGCCAGATTTTTTTTATGTGTTATGCATTACGATATTTATCACAACGGAAATCATTTATCACAAAAAAACATGGGAATAATGCGAAAAATTTCCCAAATCAAGGTTCTAACCTGCACAAATAAAAACTGAAAATATAATTCAGGTAAGAATAAAAATAAAAAAAAATTGCCTTTCATGAGAGGTAAGGGGGCACCTTAAAATTCCGCAAGGTGCTTTCTTATTTTGGAGGGAGGGATCTCTTATTACACCCAAGGGAAGTTAGGGTAAGCAAAATTCCACTATGTTATAGACGGCTGTAGACGCTTTTTTCATAGTATGGCTATTTGCAAGGCTTTAAAAATGTTATTAAATTCTTTGCATATACAGGTTAATAAGTAAAGGTAAATTAATGGTATTTTTCGAAAAGTGTAATTTATATGTGTTTATTGTTAACGTAATAAAGTTTTTAATATTTCTGGTTCTCAATAGAAATTTAAAAATTTAAATCAAATGTCGCGAATTGCCATTTCTTAACCATTTAAGATTAGAGTGTTATCAATAAACACAGAATAATTACTATATATAAAACTTATCTTTGAATAATTAAGCACAGAATCAGCTACAGTTCAAAAAGAATTTTATTAAATATTCTTAGGATGCCTAGTTAGGAACTTTTCAGATTTTAACTTTAATAGGAAAAGATTGAATTTTCTCTCTAAAAAAATAATCCAAAAAATAACTAAAATACATTGGGAAAATAAAAATAAAAATACGACCAGTGAGCAAGTTCTAGTAACAGTAGGAACTGCTAAAATAGTTTATAACAGGCAGTTAACCATTTAAATCAAGTGAGTAACAAGTCCGATTTCAATGACGCAATTAAAAAATATTAGCTAAAATCCTTAACCCCCCCCCCAAAAAAAACACTGATTTGCTACTCTGTCGTGGGAAATTAAAACATCATTTTTAATTAAGGAAACAAAATCAATTTTTAATAAAAAAGGAAAAGAAAAACTCTGAATTATTTTACAATCTGGTTTCTTCTGTAGTAAACATTAACCGATTCGGTAAATTTTAGAAACTATTTGAGAATTTTGACGAACTTCTTTCAAGTTCTGCCATGCAAATATTAAAGGTGAAAATTTCCCAATGCAATAACAGCTCTTGCACTTTCAGTTAATGTAATGAAAAAATAAATTTAAACTAGAAAAAAATCCCTTAAATCTTTCCCAGAAAGATATATGTAATATTTTAACGAATGTTGGTTTTTGTATTTTGATTCATGATGTTAAAAAATTTAATTTATAACAAAATTGAACGGAAAATTAGCACGCTTCAAATATTCATCCTACCGTATATTTTTCCAAAACGATATCCATGAAGAACTACAAAATGTTCCTTCAATAAAAAACCCCTATACAATACTAAAATTACAACTAACAAGCTACTAAATTTTTATATACTGCCTGACACAAAATTATTTTGAAATTTGCTAACTTACACATTAATAAAACTGAAAAAAATTGCATACAAGCAATTTCAAAATAAAATCGTTGCTAGCTATTGTTATATACTGACAAGCACATCTCTTATTTTAGGACATGCTTTAGGACTGGCATATTATTTAAAGTGAATAAAAATTACATAATTTAAAATTACATAAAACTAAAATTATAATTAACAAGTGACTAAATTTGTTAGATAATGACAAACGCATAACTAATTTTATGATATGCAAACAAACAAATAACTAAAGGTGAATAAAAATTGCATAATAATCAATTTAAAGGCTAAAATTATAACTAACATGCCACTAAATTTGTGATATATTGACAGACTCATAAAATTTGAGCTATGCAACTTAGCACGTTAGCAAAAGTGGATAAAAATTACATAATAAACTATATCAAATTGAAATTCTAACTAAAATGTTATGAAATTTGTTATCTACTGACGTAGCTAATTTTATGTTAAGTAAACTAACGCATTACAGATAATAAAAATTACATTATGATTCCACCGCAATGTTTCTTTAACACGTTTCTATATTTACACGTGCAAAGCTCACGTGTAAATTTTTTTTTCCTTCACACACACGAAAAAAAAATTCGTATTTATTAAAATTAATTTTGTATTTACAGATTAAAGTTTGATTTATTTACAAAGCCTTTGAATGAAAATTTATTTGACGCAACGAAAAGAAAACCAAATTACTATACATGCCAAATTTGATTGGCAATAGTTCCGCAAAGATGAATTGCTCTATAAATGTCAATTTATAATAGAACTTTTTGACTAAGACAATTTTTTTGACACGTTCTTCTTTGCAAATACAGTTATCGAGTTCTATTTAGTGCTTAGAAACTAATTTTCCTGTCTATCAATAGAATGAGGAAGATTTTAAAGTGCAAAAATATTATTTTGTTTAATGGCTTTTGGGTGAATAAAACTGTCAAACGAGTTAGGCTAAAAATGTAGAGTGTTCTATTTTTAGAATATGTTAACACTTATTTAGGAGAATCGTATTGATAAAACGTCTAGTGAGACATCTTCCAATCAATATATAGAAGTATGAAAGAAACGAATTAGATTCTTTACAATTTACAGTTGATTTTTGAAACTTATTTTTCGAAAGAAAAAATTTAAATTCGCGTGGTTGAATATTCAGAACTTTTTTTTTACTTTTACTGAGTTAAACCAATGAAAAAATAAATAAATAAATCTGAAGTACCTGTAATGTTCTTGAAAAAATGTGGGTAAAATATTGTCTTAATCGCGAAAATATGTTTAAACATAAAAATATTATTACGTTATTAAAATGGCAATTATAATGATTTACTTAAAAAATTCTATACCTACGTGTTGTAATAGTAAAGTTTTAACATACTTCTCTGGAATATACCTAACTTACGCATTTAAACTAAGTATAGAGATTTATTATAAATTTTAATTAAAAAAATTACGAACAAAAAAATCGTAAAAAACAATATTTAACCATTTTTCAGTTTAGCATTGGTTTCATGACAGTAAATAAGTTAAATATTTTCATTTTCGGTTGGAGGTGAAGAATTATATTATTTTCTATACTTTAAAAAATGTATTATTAAACCAAAAAAACAGTGGATTTAAAATTTAGCACTTAAAATGTGAAAAAAAGTTGGCAGAATTGTGAAATTTTTCGTCTTATTTCAGGAGAGCTACGAAAATTTAATCCCTTAAAAGATATTTTTACTTTTCGCACCTTTCATCCTGTTTCATACAAATTGATAATTGTAGAATTTTAAGGATATCTTTTCTCTAAATATAAATGCATGAATGAAAATTCTTTAGCTAGTTACTTATTATTTTTATTTAGTTTAATGATCAATTATAAATTGCAAGGTATAAATTTTTATATTATCATGACTTATGCAGTTTTTAATACCAGATTTTCGAAAATTAAGCAAACTGATCTATTAATTGATTTTTGAGAAATCAAACTATACAATGATCGTATATTACGTGTTCATAGATCAAATAATGAAATGTTTTCATATATTAATTTTAAACCTAGTATGTTGTTGTCCCCTAGAGCTAAAGCAGATATGAATATTAAACATAATGAAAAGGTTGCATTTTATAAACAGTCAAATTGATTTTTATAAACAATGCTTACTTCAGACTTTGTTTTTTTTCTTCATTATTTTATATGAAATTCCATTTTGTATAAACAGTGCGATGTACTCCCGGATATTTTTTTTCAATCAATAATAATATTTATTCCATATAAAATACCAACTGAAGCTATTTATTACAAAAACTATGTGATTGTATAATATATTTCAGAAACAATATGAAGAAGAACTTTTTACTTATACACAGGTCTACCAAATTTCAGAGAAGGTGAAATAGTCAGAATAAAATATCCCATTCCTACATTTTTTAAAAGAAAAAAGTTAACAGAGGCTACCACTTTTTATTAACAGTTATAAAATATGTAATTACTCGTGAAAGTTCACGAATACTATACATATGTGGTATTTATGGAGAGTCTTAATTTTTCCGAAAAAAGTTATGAAGCGTTTTTACTACCCCAGTGTTCTATCTGTTCCAAAAATTAGCAGCCTTACTTATGCTAACAAGATGCGTTAACGAACTTAGATGTGATATATCATTGAGCTAGGTATTGAATATTTCAGTAACAAAATGTGCATAACTTAATGTTTATTTTCTTAAATTGTTTATACATAAAAGCTGAAATTAAGAAAAAAAAATTCTCAATGAATTTTGCAAATAATTTTCAAACATATTCCAAATTTATGCAATGCACCGTAAATTAGGTAAAAAAAATTGTTTATTATTTTTATATTATTTGCGAAATTCTTATAAATTTATAAAAATTTAATATTTTTTAAATTTTTTAATTAAATATTTTTAAGGTACACATTTAAAAATTTAAGAATTTCTCAAATTTTGTATATAAAAAAAATTGAAATATAAAAAATAAACAGCGAATAATTTTTTTTAAAAAAACTTACTTTGATATTAAACAGATGCAGAAAATTTGAGGTAAAAATCTCTCAATCTGTAATTAAAATTAAAAAAAAGGTACAATCAATAAAACATGAGCAGCTAATAAAACTATTTCTTGCTCTTGACCTGAGTTAGAACGATTTGGTCAGTCAAGCGGGAACCCTGACCTCTCAAGAGGGAGATGGCTCTCACCTTGTACTCAATTGACCACAATAGAATTCTTTTCCAAGTTCATTCATGGGTTCTTGACCCCCTTCCACACTGACCCATAGGAATAAGAGGTTTTAAAAAGCGAGAGTTAATGTCTGATGCAATTCTAGGTATCTAAAGATGTCTGCCGGAGGTAAAAGCCTTCTCACGTGCATATTTTTTATCCATTGATTGAAAAGTTCTAAAAATTGATGTAGCAGACGATTTTCGAAGTAGAGTAAGAGTAAAAGTATTCTTTCAAATTGAAAAAGAAGTCTGACTTCGAACAAGGGGTAGGTTTTCAAATTTTATACATTAACAGTTTAACTCAGAAACTTCTATATTTTGTTTAAGCAGATCTAAACACAAATTTAAGGAATTGTTATCAGTAATGTACAAAATCCAATTAAATGAAAACAATTTTCTAACTTAAAAGGAAATGTTTGTAGATAGAGTGCTCTCTACCCACGTCTTCTGGGTCTGATATTAATTTTTTTAATTTTTTTTAAGAAAACAAAATCTTTCTTTAAACATAAAAATTTAATTCTCGCTTTATTAGATTGTATGAACTAATGCAAAATATTTTAAAGCCTAGAATTTTTTTCCCATAATTTTTAAGTAATAAAACTATCTCACAATTTAGGCTGGAGAGATAATTTAATACCGTAAACCAAATAGTTTTTATGTATTTTTAAATGAACTTTAAATTTTGTTAAATCATCTAAAATGTTTAAAATTGTCATCATTTGTAAAACAAAAGATTGATGATTTTTCATACTTCCATACGAGATCGAACGTTTAATGGTAAACTACCTATCGAAAAGTGCTAGATTACAAAATTGCATTTTAATAATTTTGTGGGAAAAATTTCATTACATAATTAGAAAAAAAAGAGAGATGAAGATGATAAAATGCAATTTAAATTTTTTAATTTTTCAAAATATTTCTATGTTATATGCTCCTCCCCTACCACAATTTGAATGAATAATATAATGTAAAACACTGACAAAATTGTAAATCACTATTGGCCAAATTCATGTAACGAAAAATGAATTACTTACTTCAAGTTCATAAAAAATATGTTTGAGTTACGTTAATATGCTAATTTTGTCAAATAGTTTTGTTTACTTATTCAAAATTAATGAAATAAATTTTAAATAAATAACAATGTATTTTGTTACTATCCGGGAAAATTAAGAATTAAAGTTTTTGTCCATAAGTTGAAGATTTCCTTAAAAAATTATTAACTGTGAACTCTTATCAACCTGTATCTACATTACATACTTAAATCAAATATATATTAAGTATACAGAGATGATTGTGCGGCTGAAAAAATCCGGATTTGCTTATTTTTTGCTAAATTCGATCCGGAAATTTCTGGAAACCCAAGGTCCAGAAGTTTCAAGAAATAATCGATCACATTTATGTGTAAAAATTCTATTATATTTTATTATAAAAATATTGGAACTAGAATTTATACTTGGCATCTCTTTCATCTGTAAATATTTTTTCTGGCAGAATAATAAATGTGATTAGATAAAAAAAGTCAACTTATGCATAATTATTTATTTAAATTATGCTGCATATAATTTATTTAGAATTTCATGTTGCGAAAATATCAATGATTTAAAATTCTAACGACATTAATTTTTTGAAATGCATCATTAATGATTTTACTCAATAAATTTTCAGGATTTTTGAGTTGGGCTCACAATTACCCCTGAGTATGACTTGATATGATGAATGGGGCATACCTCAAATAATAGGCAATTGTTAAAATCCTCCTAAGTGTTAAATTCATCTATTTCAAAAAACAAAAAAACTCTTAAATTGTTTTAGAAATAATTGTTATCTTATAACACATCTGAAAAATGTTTGCTAAAAATTTTGTGTGATATAGAGTATGCATATTTTAATATTATTGTTTAAATAAAATTTTAGGGTCATCTATTTTTTTCTTAAATAATTACAAACTGAAATAACGTTTTTAATTTAAAACAAATTGCATTTGCATCATATTTTATTATAAATTTAAAAAATTAACGCTGTCGATTATATATATATATATATATATATATACAGGGTGTCTCAGTTAAGCGTTTCAGAACTTCTAAGAGAGGTAGGGGGCATCCTGACGACTCGAAATCATATAGTAATGCGGGGCTTTTATTTTTCTGGGTGATCGCCTGCTATGAATATGTTATAAATTTAATCATCGCATTAAGTAGATTTATTAAGTGTGTCTACTTTTTATTAGCAACAAAAGTGGTAGTTTTTTTTAAAATTTATTACTATTTATTGAACCCCTTAATAATATCACTATATATGCCTAAAATAGATGTTTGAAGAATTTTTTTTAAAACAAAAGTGATCACTTGGAGGATTTATTTAATATTTCGTGTTGAAGTTGCTGGTGTTATACTTAATTTTAGAAAATAATAAATAAATAAACCAAAGCATGGTGTTAATCCTTTCAGTATACATGAGATCAATTTCATATAATCTTATTAATATTTTTCCAAAATTCTTATTTTTTAATTATAATGTTTTAATTGGTAACATGAGAGACGAAAGTAAGAGTTGCTTTTAATTCAACTTCTAACTGTATTGCCATATACTGTTTTATTTTGCAAAAAATTACTATTATTATTTGATAAGTTTACAAAAAGTAAACACTCCTGCTGCAATCTAAACAGTTAAGCTTTCAAGTCATTCTACTTTAAGACTAAAAAACTTAGATCAATGGATTTATAAACCTATATCTGGATGTGATTCTTAAATACTCCATATGCTTCGTTAAAAAATCTTTTTTCCTCATAGTAGTATACTAAGTACTAAAAACTACTTCTGAAAATTTTCACTACAACAACAAAATAACAAAATTTCGTATAAAAACTCATAATACTTAGTTAACCGCGGTTTATAATAACCAAGGATATGATAATAGTTTACTCATTTATGTTTGGCAAACTTTATAAAGTAGATTATTTCTTTCCTGCATCAATGTAATACCATAATATTTTATTAAGAGATCTGCCACGAGGATGAACTCTAAACATCTTATATCAAGGTTGATATAAAATGTTTAGAGTTCATTCTCGTGGCAGATCGTGTCGAAAAATTTATACAATTATTCTCAACGCGTCAAAATTAATGAAATAATTAGGTAAAATTACAAAACTCATTCTTAAATTTCATTATATATGTAATTATTAAAATAACATCAGTCTCTATTGCTAAAAATGTCATCTTGACCGTTTCAACTCTTCGCCAAGTTACGACATTTCCACATCTAATATAACTCGTTCAAGGTATTCGACACTTCTTTTTTTCGTATCCTCGACTCTTATCACACCAGACAATAGCCAAATTAAACATAAAACTCTGGAAAAAGAAAGAATAATGCCAAGATTCAGCCAAGTTGGCTCTAGGACACCCTAGAAGTTAAATGGTATTGATGAATGAATAAGAAGAAGGATAAGATCTGGTGTAAGTAACGAATAAGAAGTCAAAAGGGAGTAAAATCGGTTTTCAGTTCAAGGTTTCCCTCGGAAAGTTTGGAAAGGGTGTCTGGGTCAGGGTTAGGGGGTCAAGGTGGAAAAGAGCAGAATTGCTTTTCTGCAGAGCAAGAATAATTTAATGAGTGTCTTTGGGGTGAATTATCGCTAAATTTAGGAGTCCTTGGTCTCATTCTAACGGCATATTTTAATTAATGATTCTAATTTGTCGAATGAAAGAATGTAGCAGAATATTTTGAACAATGTTTTAATGAACGAGCTTTAAACTATGTTTTCAAATTTTGTTTGGAATTTACTATTCTTCACTGATAAAATTTAAATAATATTCCAGTTTATTCTTGAAAATGGATGAGTCTCAGAAAGTTGTAACTGCTTTTTCTACATAGAATTCAAAAAAAATGATTGATAGGGATAAATTATCACAAAAACTATGAGTTCTTCATGACATCATATTTTAATTAGTTTTTAATTTGTTAGCTGAAACAATGTTTTAAATCAAATAAGTTGAGATTAAAAACACTTGAATTTAGGAAATTTTTCATTTTACTCTTGCTTAACAAGGAATGAAAAAGTATTGGTGAGACTAGTCAGGATAAAATATTATTTTCTTTAGGAAGGAAATTTTTAAAAAAATCTTTCAGGTCAAAAAAGAATAAAAGAATGAATAATTCTCCATTTCAAGATGTTAAATACTTCAATTTAAGTAAATATTCCATATGAATTTCATTATATTCTGTTCTTATATATTTAAGATAAATTCAAACACTTTATTCAAATTCTTTTGTTTAGATTTTTGTTAAAATTAGATTTAAAATTTGACCCAATTCACAAATATAATATAATAACAAATAAAAATAACATTCATTTCTTAAAATATGCTTTAATATATCTCATCAAGAGTCTTTGCTCTTGACTAATTTAAAGACCAACACTTTTAATTTTAGAACTTAAAAGTGTTTCTGTAAATTCGTGACGTTTCTGTAAATTAAGCTATTTTTTCTTTCTTGGATTCTAAAAATTAAGCTCTATTGCTCACTAGTGAGCGTCAAAACTTGCTTAAGAACTTGCTATTTTAACTGCAAGTCAAAACTTTGTCAAAATTGCTTGCAAGTCAAAACTTTGAGGGTAAGTTTTGACTTGCCGTCATAACTTGTCCATCAAATTAACCTTGATCAAAATGGAACAGGTTCATTTGGAATGTGGTGACAATTTACGGATAAAAAATTATTAATCAGAATTTTAAATGTTATAATTATAATGATTTTGAGACTGAAAATTTCAATTCCGTAAAATAACACGTTGTATAAAGATTCGAGTAGATTAATAACAATTTATTGCTTAGTGAAATATTTAAAAATGAACTTAAAGTTCAATAGTAAACATTCTGAGAAAATCGATTCACCTGAATAATAATAGCATGTAAATTTGTTACAACTTTAATAATGTGTTAAATTGAATCTTGTTTCAGATTAAATTTGAACTAAGAACAGTGTAATGAAATTTATGATAATATGGTTCAACTTAAAGCGATATTAAGGTTGCAGCGAATCTAAAGAGTATTATTGCTCATCATGCTCTAAAATTTATAGTATAGTTTCTTTAAAATCAATACTTACAAGGCGGTTGTATGTACACTATAAAAAATCCTGGATCCAATTACGCTATTAAGACCCGGCACTTTGGTGGATTATAGGCAACACCAATTTAACCGTAAAATCCATTTTTATCTGTACCGTCATTCGGGGTTGAAATTCGAATTTGGCATTTTTCAAGTG